ATAGAACTCTTGGCATCATACGACAATGCTAATCACTATTCTTATCTCCTTAACTTCGGCTTGGCGCTCTTTTTCCCAGCAAGATATAAAGCATGTAGAGGTATGTGGAAGTTCAGCCAACTTTCCGCAAAAAACTTTCCCGTAAAATAACGCAAAATAAGGTATGTATATGCCAGAGAGGGTCCCTCTGGGACCAGTTATGAATGGGAGCGAGTTTTTTTCTCACCATGGGCCTTGTATTTAGGAAAGCAAGATGTCTTCCACTACTAGTAATATTCATCTCGTCTGCTTTGTTCGTGGTGAGACTGGGAAAGATATTTTCCCTGTAGTAATTGATAATAATTCAACCGTTGAAAATCTGGGAGTCGAAATCAGAAAGGTCCGGCAAGACTTAAGTCAAAAAAACTTCGATCTATATGTAAGAAAATTCAAACAACCCAATCATGGTTTGGTCAATACTGTGAATACTACCGAAAAAAAACAAGGGGAATTGATGGAGCCTCCCAATAAGTTTACTTATTATTTTTCCGTGGAAGATATAAAAGGACTTAAAAAAAACCCTCCTTATCTTCAATATGATGGTGAAATAGTTCCTATTCATGTTATCGTATACCTCCAGGAAGTGTTGGAAAAAGATCCCGAGGATACTGGGCTCTAGTGAATCAGAAAGTGAACTTCCGAGAACGAATTTTAAACTAGTTATATTTTTATTCACAGTACCATGTAGCGATATAGTCGCAATTTTTATGTATTGTAGGCCGACTACCGGCAACTATTTTATTTCATAAATAAAGTATTATTTTATCGAACGTATATGAGAAAGGGTCACGTGTAATGAAATATAAATCTAACATTTTTTATCCGAACCAGTCTAGCCTATATAAGAAACGTCAGGTGATAAATGAGAAGAGTCTTCACAGTTAGGGAGGCGCAGTATTGTTGCACCTATGATGCAATGTGGCCGATCATACGGCAGGCTTGTGCAACAGATAATTTCTCACATATAGTACTCACTCAGTATTTTTAAATTCTTTTTACCCTTGTCCTCACATACCGCACTTTGAGCCAATAACATTTCGCAAAAAATACTATATAAATCGTAAAACATGTCTATCACTTTATTCTGTCTCGTTAAAGGAAATAAAACCGCGAACGCTTTCGAAGTTGATATTGAGAAGGACAAGTCTATTAGCCACCTCAAGAAAGTTATTAAGGCGGAAAAGGCACCAGAGTTCGACAATTTTCCTGCAGATAAGCTCAAGCTATGGAAGGTGACAATCCCTGGCGATCAGGACGATCAATTAAGAAATCTAATACTCCAGGACAGTGACGAGCTGTTGGCAATAAATGATATTGGAGACTACTGGCCCACTTCGCCTCCTAAAAAACATATCCATGTTATTGTAAAATTGCCACGTAAGTGTTTGGTACAGTCTGTGCAAAGCGCCTTAATGGCTAATTTTTCGTCATTTACCCTCGCATAATTTTAACTCATGCGTTTCCAGTTCTCAGCTTGGAAGAGGCGTTGTCGTGTATTCCGCCACCCATAACATATTCTCCGGACTGTACTAAATCGAAGACCACTACAAAGGTTAATGGTGACCCACCGACAAGTGTACAACTATGGGGCGACTTCTTCGATAAAGTGAATCAATTCCGCTTCGACCAACAACCGATATTCGAGAGGCCACAATTTATTCCAGATAAAGTGGTAGATAACGAGGAGGATGTTCGTTTTGCTATTGATGCCAATATTTGTTTGGTGTTAAATAGGCTTATGGGACCAGATTATAATTTTTCAAAACGTCCACCTAATTCTCCTGGCATACCGGACTTCACCTGTCATCTCGTGAGTTCATTGATCTTGGTGATCGAGGCAAAAAGAAAGCATGTTTTAGAGGATATGGGCGAACAGACATTTCCCGAGTTTTATCAGACGAGTAAAGGCAAGGATGTAATTCAGCAAATCTATAATTATATGGGAGGAAACGAGCTTAGATATGGCATTCTCACCACCTATGATAATCACTGGTTCCTACGACGAGAGCATGCAAAGCTTTGGATCTCAAAAACCCTTCCACTAGAATCCGAATCTCCACCGGTACTCAAGGCATATGCTTATCTAACTCGACAGGCGAAAGAGAATCCTAAGTCTCCTAAACCTCAAGTAGTAGTACCGGTTCAAGGGGACAATGATTCACGTACTCTTCGGTCACACTCAAAGTCATCGTCCAACTCCTCATTAAATCAACAACAATCTTCCAGCACCTTTGCGAATCAACAATCATCTTCTAACACTTCTGTTAAGCAGAACAATTATAGCTTCTCAGACTTCAAGTTCAAGAGCATATTAGGTGAAGGACGAAGTGGGAAAACCCTCCTATGCGAATTTCGTGGAGATATGATTGCTCTGAAGAGTGCAGACTTATCGAAGGCTCCATCGTATGTCCTGGAAGAAATGCAAAAAGAAGTCGAGATTTATAAAGATCTAGCTGATATTCAAGGCAAGTATATCCCAAAGCTGATCTGTTATGGATATTATGGAGGAGGTATGAGCTTCGTTATCGGCTTGACCATTGTCGGCACTATGTTGAGCGACCATAAAATAACGAAACGGCAAAGGTCGAGGGCTATTAAGGGATTAGAAGCGATTCACAAGCATGGTATCCTCCACAATGACATTCGGGAGTAAAACATCTTAATTAATGACAATGGCGACATCTACCTGATTGACTTTGGGATGGCAAGTCGGGAGGACACAAAAAAGAAGAGAAAGCTTTTCGATGAGGAACAGCTCAAATTATCTCAATTGCTAGATAGATATATTATGTAAGAATCTGTTATTTCATGCATAGCGCTTTCGGCCAAATTCCTATTTCTTGCAATCTTAATTTCCTATTTCCTATCATTAATAAACATGTATTTTATAGACATCCCGTAAAGAACATGGGACGAATTTCCAAGTCGCGTAAATGTCAGGTGGTTAGTTAGACTGTAGGGTTATACATTAGATATTTAGTATAGAAGCGTCATGTATCACGGGCTACGTCCCGAAACTTTGTATTTATTTTTCGCATGTAATAATAAAAAATTTTCTTGGCAAATTTCAGCGACGGCCCGTCGCCCAAAAATATGTGATATATTTTTTTTATTTTGAATAGTTATGTACAGTGTATTAGTTATATATATATAGATCATGTCATCCGAGCTTGAATTATTGAAACAGCGCATCACTGAGCTTGAGGCTGAGAATGTTGAGATTGCAGAGCTCAAGAAGGAGAATGCAGAGCTTAGAAAGGAGAATACTGATTTTAGAATGAAGTTCGCTAACTTTGAAGCTGAGAGAGCTGAACTTAAACGCAAGATTGCCGAGACTCTAAGAATGACTGAAGAAGAGAGAACGAGGCGTGATGCTGAAAATGTCAAACTCAGGGCCACAATCGAGGAGTTGAGGAAAAATAATACTAAAGAGAGCGCTGAGCTTAGAGATAGAATCACGAAAGTGGAACAGAACCAGTCGCTAAATGATAATTCTTCTAACAACAGTTTACCTAGCTTCAATTCAGTTGCAGATCAGGTGCCAACGGTAACGCATCACGAGAAACCATTGGTGGATACTTCATTACCTGAAGACAAGGAAATGGACGCTTTCTTGGATGAGGAGTATAAGAAAAAGGTTAGTAATGAGATTAGGCAGAGAAATCGAGAAAAGAAACTTTGCTTTAGCACCTCCGGCCAAATCCAAGAGTCCCTTCCAACACATCCCAAAGAGAAAATGTCTCAAGATCTCAACTCGGTCACTCAGCCATGCAATAGCACGTCATCGGAAGAAAAGATATGTAGCGAACTGGATTCAAAGTGCAAGAAGGGGAAGAGTGTAGACAAGCTTAAGCAAGAATTATTTGCTTCGGAGTTGTCTTCACAAGAGCCATCAATAGAACAAAATCATGTGACCAAAATTTCTGAGACATTATGTCCCAGAAAAGTTACCTCTGATNAACAAAATCATGTGACCGAAATTTCCGAGGCATTATGTCCCGAAAAAGTTACCTCTGATAAATCTAGCATTGATGAGGCCTCACAACATCTAGCTCAGTTATGCGATAAAGCTTTTGATGCTGAAGATAAAGCAAATCGAGCTAATCAGGAAGAAATTTTATGCTGGTACCTCTATGCGAAAGATTTCATAATTCAGCTCAATGGAATCATAGAAAGTAGTGGAGGTAAATTCGGTGAAAAGAAAGCAAGAGGCTTACTGTATGATTCCATTACAAAACAGCTTAATTTGCTTCGTAAACAGAGATCCCAAGAAACGGGGTTACAGCTTCGAGATGTATCACGAGATAGTTTGCGCAAGAAAACCCAGAGAGCTGAGAAAGTCTATAAATTTATCGAACAAGTGGGCCTAGATAAAATCAAGTATATCAAATCTTATAGTGCAACTTCTATTTCAGAGCTTACTAATGAGCAAATTCAAGATGTTATAGATTATGGAATATCTTCAGAAAAATTACCTCTGGTAACGGATCATGTGACTGAAATTTCCGAGACATTATGTCCCGGAAAAAATTTGCCTGTAAATACTCCCGATCAGAATAATGTATTGGAGGTCTTGTTTCCAAAGGAATCAACTGCACCTATCCCATTAGCCCATGACTCGGTCCCAAAGGGACCCTCTAATTCTTCTGATAATTCCAAGGAAGAGGCGTGGTTTGATGAAGATATGTTTTTCAATGAGGCGAATCCCACTAAAGTGAACACTGTCACTTCAGACGATGATGTGTATTTTGGTGAGGCGAATGAAGTTAATAAGCACGATGGCGACCCCAATTCAATCAATGATGACTCCGATTCCGATAGTAATTCTGAAGATGAGATTCCAGACGATTCGGATGATGATGGATATAATGGATACGGTGGATATAATGAATATGGTGAACGTGATAGAGGTTATTACTATCGTGACGGAAGATACGAAAGGAAAGTCTCACCAATGATGAGTCCTATTATATCTCCGGTAACCGCTTAGGAGAATTTCGCATATTTGGTACTCGATTGTCCTATAAATTTATTATTTTTCGAATCACGTGGGTGGCTTAGATATCGTACTTCTAAATATATCATGCGCAGTAAGTACGTCATCTCTACTTCTCCGCAGTATATGTTATGCGCAGTAAGACGTCATTGAATTACCAGTAGATCCTGCTTCTATCGGTTGGAAGTGTGAAGAGTCTTCACGATTATCATATGACACAGCATGTGTTGGTAAACTTTAGAAAAAAAACTAGAATAGATGAATATCGTTCGAAAAAATAATCGTGTATAATAAATAGTCTAAAGTCATAGAATGGCATCATATCATGTAAATAAAGACGTTTAGGCCACTAAGTGACCCGAGCAATGTAGTCAAATATTTTTCTTGTGGCGATTCAATGTACATACAGTACTAATTTTTTATTACTCGCATGTTAATACAGGTAATTTAGGAAATCTGGATTGGCAAATTATTGGGCAATAAGATTGCCAGCGAAGATCCAGGGACTTTTATTCTCAAACTTTCTCGCATATTCTCAAAATTATTACGTATATTATTGTAAAAGGACCCCTTGATGATCTTTATATATGGATAGTGTTAAATTCTTTTATTGTTAAGGAGAGTCTGTTGATCAGATTCTCGCGATGCGTTTATATTAACATAATTTCCCCAAAAGTGTATTCCAAAATCGATCCTGGAAATTATATAAAAAGGTGATGTCCCTGTTAGTGAATCCTTTTATCTGTCTTGCGCAAGTAAAACAAAAATTCAAACCAATCAAGCTTACCATTATTAAAATCATTGATATTAACAATCAAACGAACTTGTATTTTCCGTAAAGTATTAGAAGGTATGTTGGTTTTATTGCTCGGCTAGCTTCTTGAAACATGTCATCACGATCTTAATCGATTTTCCGCTATAGATGTTCCATAATAAAACGGACATATTGCTCTTCTTGTTATATATCGGCATTTTGATCTTCGCCGAGAAAATCGTGATTGACGGCACGTGTCAAATCAGCACAATAAAAATATAAAATGCCTGATGTTCGTCACATGCTTTATAACAACTCCCCGTGCCATGATTTGCGTAATAAGCAACAAATATTTGATGGACTGGAATGTTACAAAAATGAAATATAATGGTAAGGGTGAAATGAAATGGATTAATAGCGTATTTATCAAAAATTACGGTACTATAGGTTCGAAATTATCACGGAATATTTTTCTTGCGAAACTTAACCTTTTACATGATCTATGTGGGTTGGAATGAAAAGGGCGATATAGATAGGCGACAATATTGTATGTATAGTTGAGAGTGTAAGAAATTTATAGATAGAGATATCAGCGATAGAAACAAATTAGTTGTAGAGAGAGCAAAGAAATAACATGATGCTGGGACTCGCATTAAATGGCTTAGGATCCGCGTATTCCCTCCCTCTTTGATAGTATCATACATTTCGTTCGCTATCTCTATCAGAAATGTATCTGAAAAATTAATAAAATTTCAACCTTCGGGCATTTGCATCTAAAATTTTTTCTGTGTTCATTGCTGTATTGCAAAGTGATCGGTGATTAAAACACCACATATAATTAATACGGTATGTCGTACAGATGTGATAACTATTAAATAAAGTGGCTTAGCGTAATCGTAGACTCGTAGTATAATCTACTCGTTATCCCAAGAAAATATTTTGCCTAACTCAAGTAAGTATTTTTTTCACATTGCCACAAATGAAAGGATGCGTTGGCGGTATCCTACGTCCATATGGTTCAGCCCTTTGGCCGATGCTTGGATTAGAGTCTACGGGTAAACCGCTATGACTCGTTACATGCTCGTAACGGCTCTTAGTGCCTCAGCCTGAGCTTCTTTTCCAGTATACCAACAATGTAATGTCCTACGTCCATATGGTTCAGCCCTTTGGTCGATGCTTGGATTAGAGTCTACGGGTAAACCGCTATGACTCGTTACATGCTCGTAACGGCTCTTAGTGCCTCAGCCTGAGCCTCTTTTCCAGAATATTATGTTGTGGCACAAAAAAATTCTGTTTACGTTGCAATTATCCAAGGAAATCGAAATTTAATCCCTTGTGTTTCATGTTTAACGATAATCTTTCTAGATATGAATTTTGATCGTTATATTGAAGAATACATAAATGGTTCTGAAACTGCCGACTGGGAGCATTTTAAACTGCCTTAATTGCCTCAAAGATAATGACGATTTGATGTTCACTTCCGACAGCAAACAAGATATTTTATATGCACTTATAAAAACTTTCAAAAAGGTTAGTGATTCCTCTATCGTAAAGAATGGAGTAAAGAGAAAGGCGAAAAAAATATTTGATAGTATCGAAGACACGTTTGAAAGAAGAGAAATTGGCGAATTTTTTGAACAATTGGACCATGAATTTGATATAGTAAGTTAACTGTCTTTTTCATAACACAAATTCATGCAAATATTGACCTATCATTTTATAGAGGAAAACCGACCGGGAAGTGCATAAAAACGTACATATAGCAAAAGTATTGATTGCAGAGAAAGCAACAACACGATTAGGAGAGGTATTTTTTTTATTTTCCTGTTATTGTTATTTTCCAAATATAAATGAAGTCATTTTATTATTATTATTATTATTATCAAGACATTGGACATTCAAGAACAAAGAAGTAATAAAAAGAGGAAGATTGAAGAGAATGCTGAAGTGGTTAGTATATTAGCTCGATTATATATATTTATTAAAAGGTATTCTTACATAACTATTCATGCCTAATAGGTTAACATATCTGAGAAGAGGGATAGTCCGTATGATGAAGGTGTATCAGGTGATGAAGAACGAAAACAAACAAAACAAACTCGTTTCCAGCTTCAGCCACCAAAAAAGAAAACGTCACCAGGAAAAAGGGTCAGTATATAACTTAATTTTTGTTGTACCTTTTACAGAAGATAATTGATTTAATTTTATTTAGGGGGACACATTACCTGATGGTACCAGACTTGAGAAGGCGACACCCCTAAATCTGTTACCATCGGATGATGAAGATGACAATGACGATTTCTCCCAAGATGATGATGATTATTCCTCCCATGATTATAATAGCGATGAAGAAGATGTACCTGCTCCAGAAGAAGCTCTTGATTCCGTCCTTGACAATAAAAAACCCTGGACTTTACCCTCGGGGAAAGATTTTAATGATATTGTTGCTAAGAACATGTCCGCGAACGCGAAAGCAACTAAAAGAAAGAAGAGACTATCGGCCGTTGAGAAAGCCATACTACGCTACGGAGCGTCGCAGATAATCGACTTATCTGCGCAAATGAGGAAATGGTTCTCGATCGAGGATAGAGATTTCATAATGAAAGATTATGAAGCTTTGTTACAAGTTTCCGAGATGCCCGACGAAGAATGTTCGTTTGTCAAAATAGTTGAGGATGTGTGTTTTGTTTTCTTCGAATTTATTTTAGTGTTCTATGTGCAATATATACATATTACTAATATTATTCAGATTACTCATTATTTTTATAGATGGTGCTTAAAGGGCAAATAGACGAGGCTTATAAACTCTGTACGGAAAAGCATCTTAGCTCTGAAAAAAGTAGCTACATCTACAAAATCACCAAAATTTATGCTGATTTGTAAGTGAATTTGTTTTAGCCTAAAATTTTTTCTATTTCTTTATTTCTTTGTGATTCCAACTCTTTTATTAATTTATACAGCATTTATAAAAGCAAAGACCAAGCTGACATCTTGGATTACAATGCGAAGAATACACATACGGAGATTGATGTTATTTTAAAAACCTGTGCGTACATTGTGGAAGGATTAAACAAGAATTATCAAATATATTCAAAATGGTTAGTATAAATGATCGATTGCTTCATTCTGAATAACATGGCTATTTTTACATGTTATAATTTTATTATTTAGGGGCGAATCATTTTGTTCGCTAAGCAGGAGTGTAGATCATCTTAAGGGACGTAAATGTGACGTGCGTTTTTTGTCAATGTCGGGAATTGATGTTGGGGAATGGGAATTTTCGGCCTACACCACAGCATCTAAAGCCATCAGTGACCGCTGTCGTTCAGCACGTATTAATCAATCCATTTTAAATGGATTATTAGAATATCAACTCAACGATGAACAGGCTAAGGCCATTCAAGTGCCTTTCCTGCAGTTTTCCGGCACAAGCGGGCAAATGTTGGTTGAGAATTTAGTAGAAGGATTTTATCTCGTTTTTCCGGGACCCAAATTTGAGCTTCCTACGAACCTACAAAGTATTAAAAAACTCAAAATGTCTATGAATGTTATCAAATCAGTATTGGTAATTATTCCATTTGTTTATCATCAGAAAAATCGCATCACTAATCTATTTTAACACATTTGTAGGAAATGTATAATAAAACATGCGAAATAATAATAAATCTAGAAACTATGCATCACGCATTTGACGATATTTTTGATGATCTTGATACTTCCAAACCCACTGCTCATTTTAAATCAAAGCAAATTCGTAAACCTTGGTGGACTCCCAAAAGCAAAAAGTCATAAATAAAGCCACTAAAAAAAATTCTGATTTTATTTTTTATCAGTCATGTACAATAACTCATTGGTTTATGTGTATGCTTATCAATAAAAAAAAATAATAAAGTAAAATTAATAAAGTATTCTTTATCCACTCACATCAGCCCTAGTGTTTATTTAATACGTGTCCCGAAAATTAAATGTATAATTCCAGAAAAAAAAAGGCCGATCATCTCGTGATTTTGAGATACCTGTGATACGATATACTAAACTGATTTAGCCGAAGGCGCATGTAAATATAAAATTAGCTTAGGATCCCAATCGAATAAAATGAATTGTATTTACTAGTATGTAGTCCTCTCTAAATTGGCTACAAATCAATAAAACCTCTATATATCATTAAAACTGCTTAACCAAATTCAGATAAATTTGAATCTGATATTTATTAGAGTATAATATTGCTAAATCAGCTAAAATCGCTAAAACATTATAAAATCGTTATAATCTGTTATAATCTATTAAAACACTAATATGGATTTAGATAGTAGTGCCTATTATAAGCTTAGTTCAGTTAGACTTGGTAATGTAAACTTTAAAGAATATCAAAGAATATCTGGAGAATTAGGTCTTTTACGTGATCGATATGATTATGAAACACCAGAAATGTGGTGCTCTCGCATTCGTATTCCATTTAGAAAAATACTAGAAGAGAATCCAAGAATCTTTTCTAAGAATGGATACATTACAATGATTGGAAAACATATTAAAAGCAGTGATAGAGTTTATGGTCATGAATCCGATTATATATATTGCAGTGTATGTGACTCCTTAGTTTTCATATCTAAAACTCCTTGTTTAGAAACTTGCTATCAAGATAACCATCTTAAGAGATGTATTAATGGAGATATTATTTCAAATGAACATGCAAGAAGAAAAGAAATTCTCCAATCTATTGATGAAAGAGAATCTACTATTTGGGTATATAAACAATATATATTACAAGAAGAGGCTAAAATTAATCGTCTTCGTCTAGAGCTTTTCTCCCAATCTACCTCACACTCAGAAAAGGATAAATTGGCATCGATATCACATGATTATGATACTCGTACAATTCTCTATGAAGCTTATGCGCAGGCTAAAGCAACTATAGCAGAAAATACTATGCCTAGTGCTCCAAATTTTGAGCCAGCTTGTATTTCTGTTACCTCTGGTAACCAAGAAATGATTCCACCAACTTCTTATCAGTCATCGAATTGCAAAAGTGATACAGGCGAAATATTTATCTCGTCTCGGTATGCAAAACAGCCAAAAGGCACTGCGTTGAGATTGAAGGATGGAACACTAATCACAATTGTCTAACTGACTTGACTGATTCTGAGAAATATCTTAATTATAGACTATTGCTTTTAACTGAAAATTAATATTATTTAGCCAAAGGTGCAATGTATAACTTATTCTTTATTTTTTATGCTAAATAATCTACATACATGATCGCCTAGTAAAATTGGTCGAAGGTGCTATAGATGAAATGTATCACCTGCCAAATTTTCTAGATTAGTCCTTAACCCAGATCTCGAATATTGCCTTAATAAAATAATATATTGTCCACACCTTATGGCCTAGGCATGTGTGACATAAATTTTTGATCCATCTAGCGTGTCTCTTCTTATTTATAAAAAGGCCATAAATGTATTATTTGTATTATAATAAAACTTATCCTGGTGGTCTATTTTTTTGAAATTTCATGGAATTCCATTTTTTTGCGCCATGTATAAATATATAATGGCATTTAACCAAGCATATTCTGAATTGCTAGCTAAGTTACCAGCTTCCATAATAAATGAGGCATGGATTCGTCTCACATCACGGAAGCGTAACCCATTATCTGAGAAAGAGGCCAGTGAAATTAATCCAATTGTAGAGTCGTTTTTAAAACATGAAGCTATTAGATATCAGAAAAGATTAATGCGCCAGAGATGAACCCAAAGTTGGCCAGAATGCCCGACATCGTTCAAAAAAATACCATTTATATTTGTCTCAGATAATGATACTCAAACTGATAATATCACTTGGCCGGAGGCGCTAAAGTATGATCACGAGGAAGAGAATAATCGCCGGGTTATGAATGAGCTTAAAGTACTATCCCAGCACCTGCTCGATTATAATAAAAGAACTTTCGAGAAGTTCATGCGAGATGTAAATCTAAAGTATAATGAGCGGGTTAATGCAAATAAGAAAATGCGCTATGAGATTGAAGATCTGAAAATGCAGGTGCAGGAGGCGGAAAAAGAGCTGGCATCCATGAAGTCAGATTCTACTCGTCCAGCTTCAAAGGAGTATCCCAACCTAGTCTAATCGCTAATGGATTTTCTATCGCCTTAGTAAAATCAAAAACTATAAAATTCTGATTTCGCAAATGCTTGTCAATAATCTTGGATGCCTTTTTCGGATCATCCGTATATTGACGTACAACCCTACATATGTCTTCTCTAGATCGACTCCCTCGGAACATGACTAGATGTGAGATACTTTCACGAATTATCTTTGGTACAGCTTGATATTTCTGAGTTACATATATTGGTGAGATGTTTTGATGCCGACCGCTAATAAAGTAAGGGACGATACGTTCTTGTATTTTTTTTGATTCAGCGCAGAGATCTTCAAAAACAATAACAGTGCTTCTTTTTGGGGAGAATTTGCTTATATCTGGAATTTTTTCGGCCTTTATTGTTTGAAATGAGATATTCTCCCGATATGGGTCAGGGCTATTTGCAAAAATATGGAAAGCATTTTTAACCAGCTCCCATTTAGGCTCAGCATGTTTTCCAACTAATACGAGCACTGGTAAAAAAATGATTTATCC